GCAGGTCAGAGCTGCCGGTGGGCTGTAGTTTGCTAGCCCTCTTCTACAGCTACAGGGCACCTGTGCGTAAACATATGCTCATATCTGTGTAAGTAGGCATGTATATGTGTGCATTAGCACGGTGGTCCCCAACCTTTTTGGCACCAGGGACAGTTTTGTGGAAGATGATTTTTAAAGTTATTTTTTATTTTTTAATTGGAGGAAAATTGCTTTACAGTGTTGTGCTGGTGGCAGACAGTTTTTCCACGGAAGGAAGTGGTGGGGCAATGGTTCCGGAGATAATGCAACCAACAGGGAGTGGCAGATGAAGCTTCCCACACTTGCCTGCTGCTCCCCTCGTTGTGTGGCCAGTTTCCGACAGGCCTTGGACCACTACCGGTCCCAGGGATTGGGAAGCCCTGCATTGGCACACCAAATCTTTGTCTGCTTATCCCCAAAATAGGGTGGCTTCATGGTCGTGTGACCAGTGTGCTCATATAGGGACCTGTGTTTAGAAGGGCTCTGAACCTGCAGTTTAATGTTCTGTGGTCAACGTTTTAAAATTCTTCTTAATGTTTTACGTTGGAATCTGGGCTCTATAGGTGAAGTCTGATGGCACCAATGGAAGCCCCAATCACATCTGTGGTCTTGTCTCTCCACTGCCTCATGGCTTGGACACTTGTTCCCTGCCAGTTTCCTCTTCCTGGCCCCTGCCCTGGGACCGTGCTGCCCTCCACCGTGGGTGGGACTGGGTCACAGCAGTTTTAGGGGGTGGAACATGTTCTGCTGGGCTTTGCTGGTGGCTGAGAATCCACCTGTAATGCAGGAGACCTGGTTTCGATCCCTGGGTCAAGAAGATCCCCTGGAGGAGGGCGTGGCAATCCACTCCAGCATTCTTGTCTGGACAATCCCATGGACTGAGGAGCTTGGCAGGCTATAATCCATAGTATCACAGGGTTGGACACAACTGAAGCAACTGAGCAAGCAGGCATGCCCCCGAGTTCTGCTATTATCCTTTACATCTGGTGGGAGGCCTGGATCTGAGCTTGAGAAAGGCTGGGTTGAGTATGTATATCCCTGACATCTGAGGGTAGGACACGGAGCTGACAACCCCTGCTCCTGCCTGACGGCACTACAGCACACCCAGCGGGCTCAGCGTGGAGCCTCTGCCCACCCTGATCCCAGTACGTGGAGGTTGCCCAGCTGACCCGCCCTGGGATGAAGACTGACTGTCTTTCTTCCCCACTGGGGCATGGTATACAGGTGTTTTGACTGGTGGCATGGAGAACCTGGAAACTATGGACCCATCTGTACACCCAGTCATGGGGCACCTATGGGGGTCTGCAGCCCCCACCATGAGTATCCCATGCTGGAGGGGGTCCAACACTAAACAGCAAATAAATGACATGCAGGGGGAGGGAGGAAGAGGGAAAAGGAGAGAGGGGGAGAGAAAGAGAGAGAGAGAGGCTGACTGCAGGAGAAAGGAAATGTTTCATAATTTATTACCTTTAACATCACTCTTTTCCTGTTTTTTTGAGCAAAGAACCTTGCATTTTCATTTTGTATTAGGTCCTAATCAAAGATTAGGGACTTAGATTAGAATCATCTCTGAGACTCATCCCCCAAAATGGAGGCTAACAAAGAAAACTTCCCTTATGCATCCCTTATTTCAGAGTGCTACCCTTCGTGCTTCCAGGGCTTCCTGCAGCCTTCCTAAATCTTAAATGTAAGGCTCTGAAATTAATTATATATTTTGAATGTCAGACTAACAGGCTCCTTTCAGAATATGATGATTGGGGTTGCTGCAAGGTAGCCATTCCTTCAGATAGTTTGCTACAGAACTAATTCATATTTCCTTAGAATGGTGATGAAGTACCTTACAAATATAAAGCACTATCAAGACATTATGCTTGAAACTTATTGATAACAACAGACAGGAAAGGGCAAAATTTTTCTAAGATTTCCCTTTATTTTCTATTAAAGAAGATAACACCATAACATTCTAACATACAGAAACATAACTATCTTCCTGATTCAAATAAGCTGACTACAGTCATTGTAGAGATGGTCAGAAAAGATTGAATATGGGTTGTGCCTTACAGGATATTAAATAATTACTGTTAATATTGTTAGGTGTGATGACATAGTGATTGTGAAAAAATTCTTCAGAGGTGTACACAGAAGTATTTATTATGGGTGAAATGACTCAATGTCTGAGATCTGCTTTACATATTTCAAAAGCAGAAGAGAGGGAAAAAGACAGGAGAGGAGCAGAAGATGAAGAAGAAAAGGATGATAAAGATGACAAGGAAAATGGAGAGACAAAATGTGAAGTAGATGGAACAGAATTGCAAAATGAGGAACCTGGGTGATGGAGATGTGGGATTTCATTGTAATAGTCTCTTTATCTTCACAAATATTTTAAAATCCCCATAGTGGAGTGTGTGCACGTATCTAGCTGTTGCCTATAAAAATTTTCTAGTAAAAAATCAGGGCACAGATTTTTCATTCTTCTACATACCAAATGTCCCCCCCCCTTTTTTTTTGGCGCTAGAAGCACCCTCTGAGGCTGGCAGGAGCTCTAACTGAAGAGATACAAAGGAGTCAGTTGATGGGAAGGGTAAGCTGCCCATCAGCTCCTGACACAATCAAAAAGAGAAAAGGAGAAAATGGGAGGAAGAGACTGTCACTGTTACTATCCTACCCTTCCCTTCTAATTATGCCAGAGTCAAGGCTTGGGCCACAAGGAAAATGATTTTGATGCTCAACCATTTGCCCTATTTTGTATACATCAAAAAAGCTCTTGTTCTCACCACATTCCAATCTGACAGTTTCCCACCTACTTTAAAAAGGTATCAAGAGGCCAGATTAACAAAAATATAAATAAAAGGACCATATTACAAGGAACACCTTGTTTGTAAACATAGAGATAGCCTTCCTGTTATTCTGAATTGCATATGTAACACTTTAAAAGTAAAATTGCTTTGTATTATTTTATAGGTATTCAGATATATGTTCAACAGCCCAGCTTTTAAAAGTTAAATGTAAATTTCTCTCCTGAGTGCAGATGGTGGCCAAGCAAAGTAGCTCTTCAGTCCTAAAGACAGAAGGTCAGGTCATGGCTGAAAGACCAAAGAACAATTGCTGCTTTGCTACTCCAGATCATCCATGGAATGAGACACCACCGCTTTCTTGTTTTGAAACTGTCTGTTCAATTCAGAATAGTTACACAGAGTACCTATAAGATTTCCTCAAATTCTGTCCAAGAAAAAAATAGTATGCACATCACATTACAAACATCTTGGAAAACTATTAGGAGATTTTATTCCTAACTCTGACATCCTAAAAAGGCATATATCTCTATCTAAAACTGACATTGAAATCATTATAAAACCTGTTCATGTTTCACTATTTAGCAGGTAATATTTACAAATGAAAACTGCTTCTTTTAAAAATCCTGCAGAATTTAGCCTCCACATCATTAGTAGTTAATTAAAATGAGATATAGTGAGAAAAGACAAATATTACAAATACTTCTGCACGTGTTATTCATTTATAAGAGATATTATAATCTTATTGCTCCTATAGTGTTTTTTTCTCTCTAGAACATTAAAATGTAATTTTTAAATAGCTTGGAGACTCTACCTTATGATATTTTTTCAGTTAGTCTAACATGTTATGCTAGCAGATGCTACAGAATAACAGGAAAGGTATATAATAATGCTAGGGAGCATGACAATATGATACCTTTTTTAAAAAGTTATGATACATCAGAAAAGGAAAGTTCTGTGTTGGTTGGTAATACTAGACCTTCAGTTTCTGATATAAAGGATTTTTAATTCCACTATCAGGCACGCCCCCAACTGGATAGAATAAAATAGTGTCATTATTTGAACATAATGAAATGTACATTATTTGCTAATAATGAAAATTCTTCTGAAAATTTAAAACTCATTATAACACTATGAATGTAGTGGTGCAAAAGTAGAATTTGATTTTGGCTGTCTGGATTTTATTTCAGTGCCAGGAATTTCAGCCACCACTTGAAAAACTTTTTGTACTAAATTTCATCATCACTTTCATTTTCAATACTTTTCCTGATTGTCTTTGCATTATTTGCATGGAGAGCTGATTGGGTTGAAAAGCAAATATGTTGGAAAATTTGGTAAAAAATGTTGAACTAGAATATATTTCAAAAAATTTACTTTGGGCTACCCCCTTTTAAACCATAGCGATTTCTTTAAAATAATGACACTGAGAACTCAGTCTTATTTTAATTGAATAGATTTATCAACCTGCTTTCACTGAATATAAAGAATGAAAGCTTTCAATGTTCTGTCACACAAAACTAAGAAAATCAAAAGTCAGTATATTTGGAACTGCCTCGCTAAAAACTTTATCCATGTTGTCAATTAAAATTGAAGTATCTACATGATCTCAACAAAGATATAATGTAAAACATCTGTTCAAACTTAAATTGAAGTAAGTAACATTTCTTCCCTAGCATTTCCAGTTTTACTGTATTTAGGTTTCCTGAACAAACGTATTCATGATAGTCTTAGTTAAAACTGGTTCCACTCTGCCAACAATCAATTTGATTGACATGTTTACATATCAACTCATCTCATCTCACAAATTTTAAACTTTTTCACTTAAAATTGGATTCAAGTTGGCATTTTTCAAGAACTTTATTTACATATATTTTAGGTTCAAAATGTGCATTAGAACTTTTTTTTTCACTTTTTAAAGTAATGGATACATATATCCAAATGTATATTTATGACCTGTCAGATTGGAATTTAATATGCATGCAGTTGTATTCTCACAACTTCATGTGAAAGGTGATAATTTTAGGCAACTGTATATGAAATTCTTTTAATAGTATAAATTGAATCATTCCATTAATTAGAAAGAATATAATAGAAATAAATGACTTTGGAATAAAATCAAAAAAATTGCAGGAAAAAAACATTAGTTATGTCTTTAATTGCTGCAGGTACTATATTTGTACCAAATCTTACCTGATCTTTAATTTCAAGATCCCTTTTAGTTTTTATTCTGTACTCTCTGTGCTCCTTTTCAGCCTCATCCTTCTCCATTTTGGTTTTATTCAATTGATAGCGCATTTCTCCACACACCTGTTAGATTACAAAAACTAGATCAATAGCTACTGGAATCTACTAGGCAATGCCTGCAATCAGATCTTTTGGTGCCCCCTAGAGGTCGTATTAATAAATACAACAGAAGTTTTCTAAGAATGGCATTTTTTATTTGCATATTCAATATATTGTTAAGATGTGGAGGCAATATCGGATATTATTGAGTCTTGCAACTTCAAATTACAGATAAAGCAAAGCATAACCAGGGAACTCTGGTAATATACACAAGAATTTTTCATGTAAAATAAGAGCTTCAATTGCATATTATCATCTAAAATGCACTATCATCTCACTTTTAAATAGGTAAAATTATTAATTAAAATATTAAGCTATGTTATTATTCATTAACATTGTCATGGTTAAAGATACACTCTATATTAAAAACTTGCCTTGAAACTTTTAATCAGTTAGGTTTTTATTTAAGGAAATTAATAAAGGAATTCTTCTCTCTGTTAATAGACTATATTATTAATATTCAGGCATAGAGTAGAACCCAGCCAGTATTTACTGTAGGCTTTGTAGATAATGTAAGTCTTACCGTGCAAAATACTATGTATTCAAGTTAAGAAAATTAAAAATCACAGACTGCAATTAAGCCCACTCTGCTTTTAAAATAACTATGGCATTCAACATAAAAGGAAAATATACATGTAATTGAAATGATTTTAATACAGAATTAAACAGTAAACACATGTAGTATCTAAAAATTATGTATCATCCTTTACATATTCTTTCAATCCAGGCCATCTCCATACAGATAAATACATTTGGGAAATGCAACTAGAAGACAAATCTAAATAAAGAAGTTACAAACTTCTGAGACAACTGAGAACTTGTAGGGAGATCAAATAATACGTGTCTGCTAAGTCAGTTTCTAAGTTACAAGTATGAGATTTTAAAAATTGGGTATCATCCAATGGCTATTGCTACCTGAAACTTAAATTTTGGTAGTCCTCTAAAGTGATTATTAGAATTTTAGAAATTAGTTTCATCATTATTGAAGTTTTAGAATCTTGTAAAATCTATATGCACTTCCTATGTTCAAATAAAAAATACCTGAAGACTAAACTAGTCTGTGTTTGAAAATTACAGTGACAGGATAGAAGAAAAACTAAGTTTCTCCCCAGTGACCCTCAAAAAGTTTAAAAGAAAAGAATAAAATTACTAAAAACTGTATTTGAAATTCAGATATCTTCAATATGTGAGGTGAGCCTTTCCATTTCAAAAATATTAGTAATGCATAAAAAATTATTAAAGCTAAATAAAATTTAAAAATTAAGAACTACAGAAAAACATGAGAGGAGCCCTAATTGTCTTCCTTCACTATTTCAATCTATTTGATTTACATATAAGAATACAATTTAAAAATCCAAATTATAATACCAACACCTAACAACTACACAGCCATGGTGCTTAAAACTCAGTATCAGTACAAAATTATCATATATAATAACTATCTAAGCATTAAGTCCTATTTAAAATCATTTTATCCCTTAAGTTTATTTTTAAAGTTTCCCCGCCTCACTAATTTCAGTTTAAAATGCATTTGTTAAATTTATTCATAACACTTAAGTTTCATCTAAAATACATCAACAAATTAAATTTAACTAGGATTATATTATCCCAGAGTTGGAAGCAATCACACAGCACTCCCCTGATGTCTGAGTCCTTCTGAACAGTTCTAAAGACAGAGTAATCATTCTTTACTGTCCATATTTCAACAGGAAGTTCTCTCCTTATAATGAACAAAAAATCCTCAGGTAGCTCTCACCTGTTATCCAGGTCAACCATTTCTATCCCTCTGTACCAGTTCCCTTACTTCTGCCCCCTACTTCCACACAAACACATCAATCAAACTGGCAAATATGATATTTTAAGCTTCTGCATGAACTAGCTGAAATTCTAGAAAGCAAATGAAGAACTATATAAACTCAAGGGAAAAAAAGAAAAATTAGGCTTCCTTTCCTACTATATATTAAAGATAATTCAAATTACTGAGTTATAAAGCAATAACGGCATTAAAATATGTCAAAATTTGGGAAAATACGTTGAGAAATAAACTATAATATGAGATGAGTATGCATTTTAACAAAATTATCTGTGTATATATTGATGAAAAACAAATTGATTTATTACATCACGCATATCCATATTGAGTTACTTAGCCTTAAACCAATGATTACTGATGTCTACATAGACCTCTAGTGTTTCTTAAACATGTACCTTCGCCACTTATGACCATTAAACATTTCAGTTCTTGGTTCACAAGTTTGCAATGCCCATAGCACAGACATTGTGATACCATAGTGTAAAGTATAAATTTAAGGACCGAAAGAATAAGAAGTTGTAGTATTAGAATCTTGATTTTAAAGAACGGGTCTGAAAGGAATGAGAGGTAGAGAATTTTTTTATGTTAAACATACCTTTATGTTGTAAATAAATGTATGTCTTTTAGTATTATTGAGAAGACCAAACTTATACTATCTCTGGGGAAAAAATTACCCTTAATTGATCTATTTAGAAATACAAGTTTTATCAAATACCTAATAATTAAAGTAATAAAATTTGCCTATTTACAAGTCTGTCTCAGCAACTTAACCCTTAAGTTCTTTGAGGACATTGTTTGTATCTAACCCTCTTCGTATTTGCAGCACCTAGCAAAGGGCCTGATGATAATAAACAAATGCTTGCTGAATGACCATTATGTGGATCTTTACTATCTCAAAACAAAAACATTTTTCTACTCCACACTTCTTTCTGAGATTTACAGACTAGGAAAAAATTTTCAAAGAAAAGATTTACATAATTAGTAAACTAAAATCTTTGTACCTTTGTGACATCCATTTCCCGGGAAGCAAGCTGGTTTTGAATTTCCTCGAGTTGATGAACAGCTGAAATTTTCTCTCTTGTAACCTTTTCCACCTCAGCCTCCAGTTGGGCAATATTCTGAGATAGGGTCAACATCTATAACAGGAAATAAAAGTCCTAAATGATAATGTTATTTGACAAAATAAATATTTAAAACATCTTAAGTTAACAGAGTGTCAGCATGGCCACTCGACTCTCTAAGTCATTTCTCTGTGGATGGGGTATCTCCATGACTGCATTCTCAATTCATCAATCTCCCTTCACTATCACCTCATATAATTACTTATTTTTCCTAAACTTTTAAGATTTACTCTCTTAGCAACTTTCAAATATACAATGCAGTATTGTCAGAGTCACCATGTTTTTTATTTTTAAAAGATATGTATGTATGTATTTATTTGGCTGTACCAGGTCTTAGTTGCAGCATGCTGGATCTTTAGTTGTAGCATGTGGCGTCTATTTACCTGATCAGGGATGGAACCCTGGCCTCCTGTGTTGGGAACACCAGAGTCTTAGCCACTGAATTACCAGGGTAGTCCCACCATGCTTTTTAAATATTAAAAATAGAATTGATCAGCAGACATTTTTTGAGAAACTTCCATATGCTACACTAAGTCTTTAATACCAGAGTTAATGAATTTCTAAGCACTTTAGAAAGACATGTCTAATATCTGAAAAATTCAATAAGAATATAAAATAGTATTTTTAAAAAACACTAAGTATATTAGTAATTTTGTATTAAGGCAGATACAAGAATAAAGGTGTTGAATTTATCCTCAAAGTTAAAGTATATTTAAAATTTTATTGATATATTCTTTATCAACAAAAATTATTTATATGCATACTGCTTAAGACATCACATTTTTTGCTGTCTGTTTCCTCATTAGACTAGAAGTTCCTCAAGAGCATATTCCTTAAGAGGCATATGATTAATGTTTGATGAATGAATGAATTGTTAGAATAAATGGGTTTTCTGAGGGACTCTATGATAGCAGGTGCTTAGTTTTTCTTCTAAGGGTTAGAAATGCTTTCTAGATCTTATATTTAACCTTCATAGTTTTTGGTTTGCAATTAATTTTAACTTCTGCTCCGGTGAGTCAAACTTTCCCAGGCAATTAGCTTCTCATTTGTATTAGTACTTTTAAAGGGATGAAGAAATGCTACCGTGCCCCCTGATCAAAACATAGCTATTCATTTTTAATCAGCTAAAACAAAAACTGATAACAAATTTGACATAATATTTAAAATCTACACTAACATGGGTGTGAATTCAGTTTTACAACAGAAATCAGTAACTAAAGTTTGTAGTAAAAATCAAGATTGCCTTTGGCAACTAACTAATATTGAAAATAGCAAAATAATGAGCCCGGGTAGCTATTTTCTAATTTAGACAGTAGAGGTATTATTTAACTTGTCTAGGGATTGTGGAGAATTATACATTTAATATATGATTGTTTACATGTCCCTCTTATCATCAAGAAATTGGCTACAAATCTAAATTGCATGTAAAATTTCTTTTACTAATATCAAGCTACGAATTATCCTTATGCAGATTACAATCTGAAACAAAAATTAAAGGTCAAAAGAAGTTAAATGTAACAAATCAAAAATACTAACCAAATTTCCTTAATTTAAAAATTCAAGTGCATGAGTAAGCATATTATGAAAATGTAATTATAGCTTTTCTGGAACCTTACAGTAACAAAAAACTTTAATTACCAGCTACTAAAAAATTCATGTATTATTTACGTGAATCTTATGGCAAATGTATTAATATTGTGTGGTTTTTTTTGAAGTAAATGTGCAGACATTTATTTTGCTAATGGTAAATTCTGAGTCAGTTTCTACAGCATGTGACAAATTGGCACTTTCCACGTGACTCCCTCCCTCTGCCACCCATCACTTCATTCCTCTACCCACTACCTGTCTGCTCCCTTCTGTCACCCACTTCTCGGAGCCTCCCCTCCTGTTGACACACCTTCTTTTTCCCCATGCCCACCATCTGGAAGTCAACATTACACTGCAGGAACGTCTCCATCCACATCTGTTGCAGAGGCAGAAGTAACACAGACAGCTGCAACACTGTTGGAGGGCCAGGGTGTTGACATCAGGTAAGTCCTTTAAACTTTGACAGGGGCAAGCAACAGACAAGGACACCCAGGATGGGAGAGCCTGATAGAAATTTCTACAATAAAGGGTCCCTGGTGTATTGAACGTAGTATAAAATGGCATTCCTCATAAAAAAAAGGTACAAGAAGTAGGGATTCTAGCAATGGGCTATTATCAAGAAACCAACTGAGAAAAATTCACAAACCACAGGGGGCATTCAATAAATAGAAGACTGAATAACTGATTGAACTGACAAACTTAGTGTCTTAGTGCAACCAAAGACCATTACTGATGCCAACAGGCAAACTCACAGCAAGAACTGTTCATGGAGGAATGATTCAAAATCTGTCTAGGTGGAAGGCATCTGCTCTTCTAGAACTTCCCACATAAATGAAATTTTTAAAGCAGTAAGAAGAAAGGGAAGAAGAAAAATAATAAAAAGAGAGAAAGAATGTACAAGTCTCAGTAGCAAGCCCACCACAAGGAAAGCAGAGACACGTGCTCCAACACTAACCATTAGAACTTAAAATGTGATTGTTGAGACTTCCTACTAAAGTAACTTCTGGTGCTAGGCAGTGTGATAATATCCTCTTTTAATCCCCTTGGAAAAGGAATGTATTGGATTAACTTTCTGGTGAAAAAAATGAAAACCAAGAATTTTCCCAGATTCATTCAAGCTAATAAATAAAAAAATAAAGCTGGACTTTATATTAAAATGTGTCAGCTTTTACTAACACAAAGGTCCAAGAAAGCTACCCAATAGAGCTAACTCTTTCACTAGAGTAAGAATAATAGCCACAAACTAAAATTTGTTTAATGTCCACCCTAAGCCAGGTAGTTTGTTAGGTACTTCAAAGCATTATTTTATTTAATCCTATCAATTCTTAAAGTAGATCAAATCTGTCATTTACTACTCTGAAATTTGGAGAGGTTAAATGAATTGTTCAAGGTCACAAAAAGGTAAAACTGGATTCAACACTAAATCCTTTTACTTCAAAGATTCTGCCATTTCCTGTGAAAGTACTGGCTTCACTGCTAGGATCACTTTCAGGTCTTTATTCATACATCTTTATTTTGGGCAGGATCTTGAGATTAAGTGTCAAAGGTTTAATGGGGACAAAAAAAAATTCAGAAATGCACTGCATTTCTGTTGCCACTTTTTTTAATAAAATAATTATCAGTTTAAGAAAATTATTCATAAAAGCACCTGGCATATTGCCTGGCACATTTCAGACTTCATTTCTTCTTATCAGGAATTCTCATCAACATATTTTTACATAGTAAAAGTACTCAGCAAGGCAAAAGTTGCCACTAAACAACCCAGGAAAAAAGTCTCCTAAGCATAATTAGTGGCTGATCTTTGCTCTTGATGCCATTGTCTCTCTCACACAAGCTCAGCTCACAACTTTACCTTCCTCCACACCTTACTCATGTTGGCGTATCTCCCCCTCATACTGCATTTCTGCTGCTGCTGCTGCTAAGTCGCTTCAGTCGTGTCCAACTCTGTGCGACCCCACAGACGGCAGCCCACCAGGCTCCCCCGTCCCTGGGATTCTCCAGGCAAGAACACTGGAGTGGGTTGCCATTTCCTTCTCCATTTATAAATCCTGCCTTTTTTTTTTTTTTTTTTTTTGAAGCTCATTTAAAATGCCATCTTCTCCACAAAGTTTTCCATGATCTCTTGCAGATAGAAATCTGTTCTGATTCTCTGAACTCTTAGCATTTTAGTTATACCTTTCCAGGAGAGGGAAATGGCAACCCACTCCAGTGTTCTTTTTGCCTTGGAAATCCCATGGACAGAGAAGCCTGGAGGGCTACTGTCCATAGGGTCACAAAGAGTTGGACACAACTGAGCAGACATGCATGCATGCCTTTCCAATGGCCTGGGGCCTTCTTTCTTCCATTTGTATTCCCCTTGTATTCATTCAATAAATATATATTGAGCACATTTTATGTGGGAGGAATGTGCCAAGCAATTAGGATGTTAACAAACCATACATGCAGGAGAATCATAGTAAATTAGGGGAGATAATTCAATAAGATTTTGCAATAAATTGAGTTTAGAAGCCCATAGGAGGGGCTCCCAAAAATTCATCACTGAGAGACTATGAAAAGATATGGTGTCAAGAACTCTAAACCATCAGCTAGAGAGGCTAGAGGAAGATTCCTCTAGGCAATGGTGGGTGAGGGGTGCAGGGATGGGAGAGGAGGGGCAAGGCCTTGCAAAATCCTGAAATGAAAAATTGGTATGGCAGATTGGCATGTTTGACATTTGAGAAAGTGCAAGTAGGTCAGTATGGTGGTAATATAAGAAAGAAAAGAGAAGGGAGATGAGACTGAAGAACCAAAGAAAGGGGGAAAAAATGTACAGTCTTTATGTAACAGTGAAAGAGCTTAAAAAAAAGCCACAAAAAAAGAAAACTACAGGCCAATATCAGTGACGAACATAGATGCAAAAATCTTTAACAAAATTCTAGCAAACATAATCCAACAACATATTAAAAAGATCATACATCATGACCAAGTGGGCTTTATCCCAGGGATGCAAGGATTCTTTAATATCTGCAAGTTAATCAATGTGATACACCACATTAACAAATTGAAAGATTAAAGCCATATGATTATCTCAATAGATGCAGAGAAAGCCTTTGACAAAATTCAACATCCATTTATGATAAAAACCCTCCAGAAAGCAGGCATAGCAGGAACATACCTCAACATAATAAAAGCCATATATGATAAACCACAGCAAACATTATCCTCAATATTGAAAAATTGAGAGCATTTCTCCTAAAATCAAGAACAGGACAAGGGTGCCCACTCTCACCACTACTATTCAATATAGTTTTGGAAGTTTAGCCACAGCAATCTGAGAAGAATAAGAAATAAAAGGAATCCAGATTGGAAAGGAAGAAATAAAACTCTCACTGTTTGCAGCTAACATGATCCTCTACATAGAAAACCCTAAAGGCTCCACCAGAAAATTA